TGTCAGGTACTGACTGATTCATTGCAGTTTCTCCACTGATGGATTGGTAGAAACGTTTATTATTATTATTATTGATCATCGCACAGTCAGCCAGATGTTCAGACTGGATTTGGCATTTTTATCTACCTATTGAGTCCTTACCAAGGACCTGAGATAGGCAGATGTGGATGTTTGATGATATTATAGATATCGTCACACGATGGAAGCAGTTCCTAGTAAGGCTGCTTTTTGCAATTGATTAATGGCGAATTTATCAATGCCAATGGTATTCAATGGTGCTACCACTACCACTACCACTACCACCACTACTACTACTATTATTATTACTGTTGTTGTTATTATTATTATTATTATCTTGGAAGGGACCTTGGAGGTCTTCCTGATCAGGCAGGAAACTTTATACCATTTGAGACAAATGGTTGTCCAGTCTCTTCTTAAAAACGTTCAGTTTTGGAGCATTCACAACTTCTGGAGGCAGGTTGTTCCAGTGATTAATTGTTCTGTCAGAAACTTTCTCCTTAGTTCTAGGTTGCTTCTCTCTTTGGTTAGTTTCCATCCATTGCTTCTTATCCTGCCTTCATGTGCTTTGGAGAATAGATTGACTCTCTCTTCTTTGTGGTTGCCCCTGAGATATTGGAACACTGCTATCATGTCATCCCTAGTCCTTCTCTTCATTAAACAATATTGTCTGTCTTTCTTTTACCATGCAGTGTTATTTTGTCTAGTTTGCATCCTGTCCATGGACTATGTTTTCTAGACACGTATGTAAAGCATGAGTATATGATTTCTCTTTGGAATACATGACAGATCAGAAATTTTTGAGCCGCAGTATCAATCTTGCACTAAAAGGAAGGGCCCACCTAGGATTAGAGAGTTAGGAAAACATGCATTCTTCCTTAACCTTGGAGCATATGCATTCATCAAAAATCCTGCTACTTCACAATCAAGTGCTTTTAATAGTATAATTGCAACACACCAGGAGAAGATAACAACACTGAATTATTTTACAAGGTTTTATGTATCATTCTTTCTACCCCTGCCCAGCATAATTATGCTTGATTCTCTGGCGAGGATCGTATATATCAGTCTCTTAGGCACAGTTCTGCTTTTTGCATCATTTATATAATTGCATTGCACTTCCAGGTTGAAAGGATTAGCCTGTGACATCAACGTTGCCTGGGAGACACCTAGTTGGGGGCTCCCTTCATGTCCCAGAAGAAGCTGGAGCGAAGGACAGGAGCTCAACACCGCCTCTTAGCAGCATTTAGGTCTCAAATGTGGGCTTGCTAACCTGCATCCCAGCATCCTAACCATGCAAGCCACCATGCTCCTTATTTATATAATAATGGAGAAATTTATGCTGCCCATCATACTCTGCAAAATGACTCTGGGCGACTCACAATTAAACTGTATAAAATGAAATATAGGCATCTGTATTAACTGAGACATTGTTCTTTTAAAAAGAAGCATCTAAGTTAGAAACTTTAGATCTAATATTTCTGCTGTTGTAGAACACATTACTATCCATTCACAGGTACATCAGAAGTTGTCAGTTATTATGCATGCCAGCAATCATTTCCTTCCAGGGAAAAAACAATATACTGTATAAAGCCAATTATTGCTAAGCCTGCTTATTTTCTTGCTAAAAATGAGCATTCATTTTTTTTAATTCTAGAACAGTTACAAACTAACCATTTTTCCATTTTATGTCATATGTTGCATGGAATTGCATCTTTTCTTCACAACCTCTTCTGGCTACATTTTTTCACAAATTTATTTTATTATATTTATTACATTTATATGCTGTCTATCTCACTGTCAAGTGACTCGGAGCAGCTTACAATTGTGTATACCAGATTTTGTGATAAAAGAATAGAAATTCCTAGAGTTCTCATTAATGTAGAAAAGGAATGTGAAAAAAATCAGAATGGGCATATCTAACTGTTTTTGCAAAAACAAAATACTTTATTAAAAGTATTAAAATATTTACAATGTTAGTACTGCCATTTAGTTCATTCCTCACAGGGATTCTTCATTGCTTTTGAAGACAATTGGAGTTAGTTGCCTGATTTAATGCTGTATAAAAATGAGTCCTGATAAGTAATTTTGTCTTCATTCAGTAACATAGAAAAAGGCCTTACATATCTAATGGTGGTTAATTTCTGGCTCTTCAGGTTTGTTGCATTGTAGTGCACAACACCCTGATTTTACTGGTGGAGACTAGTAGAGTTTATTAATTACAGTAGTTTTCTCTTTTTAGTTCTCATTGGCACCATCATGAGGTTCCATTCAGTTATCATAGATAAGCCTAGTGGGCCAAATATAATGATAGGACAGAATTCACTGCTTCAATTATACTTTTTAATGTATCTCTTTATGTCAAAAAACAACAACAAACCCTAAGCGGAAAATGAATGCAGAAAAGAGCCTTTCTATTTGAATAGTAAATAAGGTGTGTTACCTTCAGTGGAAAGCTTTTAATACCAGCATGCTTTATATCTGCAAAGGGTACCCTGTTTCCTGAACTGGTGCATTTTGGTTTAAGAATTGAGTGGGTGTGTAAAATGCATCTGCGTGCAAAGAAAGAGAATGACTGTCCCATAGAAGAATCTCAGAATTTACAGAGTCAGAGGATCAGAGTGAAATATGCAAAACACCGGATACCACAAAGAAAGATAAAATCAGCTTGTTTTGGAAAACATTAAGACTACTGTCATCACCTAAGAGTGTAGGGCTGCTTCACACCATCTGTATCGTTACTGAGCTCAATGTCTTCTTTTTAGAAGCACGTCTGTTAATACAAATGTAAATCACCATTTTTTATTTTCAAGTACTGTGTGCTTTTCACTTTTCAGTTACATGCCAGTGTAATCATGAGAGCCATTCATAAGGTTGACATTGTCCTAAAACTGCTACCCATGAACACTATTTCTCACCAGAAAATGATTTTAGAATACCAGCCATTACATATTTATAATGCCAGAATCCATATGTTTTGTATATTTATTAGAAGATCTTTTATATTTAGCTTAATATGACTGCTGGTAGTTTAACGTACATATAAAAATCAACATCAAGTCAACAGAACAATACATTTAGAATGCAGATGGCCACCCGCTCTGCCAAACCCCAACAGTTCTAACCTCTGAATGCTGTGTTCAAACAACACAGATTTGACTGCCTTGTGGAAGGCTAATGTATATTGGGGGGGGGGGAGGAGATGTTAGGTACATCTCTGGGAGGAGATGGCAAACCTTAGTCATGTCCCCTTGAATTTTCATAGAGATAGTTTCCTTAGCATCCTCCCCCCGACTTGAAGCCAAATAAATTCTACTTGAAGAAGTGTTCCCTAAATTATCCATATTAACTATTGTTTAATTGGTATAATTTGCTTTTATGTGTGGATAAGATATATGACCTATAGTGATACAGGTTTGATGCATGTTCTACATTTTGCAAAGTACTTAAAATGAGGCACTAATCTTGCTGAGTTATCTTCACTGTTTTGTATATTGGCCTATGGTATCAACTCCATACGTGATAATATAATAAAATAGATCAGGAACAGGTAAGATCATCATTGATCCACACTGAATGTGATTATATTCATACAACATATTAAACAGTCCTAAGCCTAGTTGTCAAAACAAAGTTGCTATATGGTACTGGATAGCCAACAAATAATCTATATTATACATGAATGAAGGCAAATAAAGATGTGAGATCGAATTTGGGTCGGTCACTGGGACCAGAGGTTTAGTATTCCAGTGACTGACCCAAATTTGATCTTACAAACTATTATAGCTTACTATAGTTCATTGTGATGATGGCTGGTCACATTATGATAATGGGCTCCTACAACATGCTGAAATATAAAGAATCCAACTGCATTGGGTTTTTTATTTCTCTTGTGTTGTGCAATGAATGTACCACTGAGAGACCTAAAAGGTCAAGCTGAAGACAGTTCATTCTGCTTCTTTGCATTATTTTAACCTCTTGCCTGTTTCACCAATGGTTGTATCTAGGCACCTTGACCTTTATCATCATTTTCTTAATTTTTCCAAATATAATTCCTTTGCCAGGGACTTTTGGCTTTTCTTTTGCATTATGTGTCCAAAATATTGAAGCTATAACTTCATTACTTGTATTTCCAGTGAAGTCTGGTTTTATTTTATCTGGTATTAAATTATTTCTTCTACTTCTAATCCAAAGTAGTCTCTTCAGCACCATAATTCAAAGGATCAATGTTTTCGTCACTCCAACTTGTTCCAACTTTCATAGCCATATGTTGCAATAATAACATAATGCTCTTGACAATATCTTTATTGTCTATATGATGTATTTGTATTTTAATACCTTATCTAGATCTGTCATAATTTTTCTGTCAAATAAAGATGTCTCTTTATTTCATGGTTTTACTTACCATCCTTGTGAATATTTGAGCCTAGGAAGATAAAAGTTTGTTTTTACTTCAAGTTTTTAAGCTGTTTATATTAGGCTGGCATTGCTTGTGTCTTTTTTAACGTTGAGCAGCAGACAGGATTTTGCACTCTTATTTTTTTAGCAAGAAATTCTCAACTATCAGAATATTTTCAGCATATCTGAGGTTGCTGATGCTTCTCCTAGCAATGTTATTTTAAGGTTTTATTTCTTCTGGTTAATTCATTTTCTATTTATTTTGTGTATGATGAAAACCTGACAGAGGAGAAGTAAACATATACACACAATCCATGTAATTATATACAAAACTTCTACATGGGTATGGCAATGGACTCATAAATGGATGTAAAATTCAGCTAACCAGGCAATTGCCTCTGGCATTGCTTTGTGCAAGTCTTCTAGGGAACCAGGGAACCCATGTCATGGGCAGTTTTGCACAGTGTATTTAATAGTTTGCGTATCAGCACAATTGCAACAAAGGGAAATCTTTCTATCCCCACTGATACAGAGCAGAAGCACTTCTTCCAATATCACACCTACTTCTGTTCAATTTTGTCCAGACAAAGCCAGGTAGGTCAAACCAAGTGGTTTGGTAGAGGGATCAGTAATGGTCAGACCACACAAAGGTATCTTGGACCATTCCTCTTTTCAGGCATTAAACTGGGTAGATGTTATGTAAATAGGTGTTTTCCATGCTGGCCTATGGGATTTCAATCTTGTGATGGGCTGTGCATTGCCCTGGTGAACAGGACGGACCTTGTTGTTCAGCATCCTTGACCATAGCTGAAGGAGAGTGTGTTGTCTTCTAATGTGGTACGCTTTGATATTGTTAAATACTGGTAACCAATGTACCTGAATAGTATACAATGTTCCAGAGACAATACATATTATCTGGCAAAGTTGAACATTGACCATTTGAGTGTGGATGCTGTTAAGCCACACACTGGCCCAATATTCAGCTGGGGAATAAACCAAAGCCAAGGCTATTGTTCTTAGGGTATTGGCATCATCACCCCAGAATGTTAACAGTCAGTTTGGTCAGTAAATTCAATAAATACACCCATGCCTATAGCATTTCTTAACTACATGTGCTCCTTGGGCAGTGCTAAATGGGTGACAACGACCAGATGCAGCTGTACTGCTCTCTGGGGCCCCACGGCCATGACAAACAGAAGTGCATAAAATCAGACTTTCTACTGATAGTCCAAGACATCCAGATTTTTTCCTACATATTGTAGCAACAGGCTGGCCTAGAGGGTTCATACTTCTTCTTCTGGAAGCCTCTGAGTTTGTACATACTGGCTAGCCTTCCTGCCCTGATGTAACTCCTTGTTAGTTATTATTGCTACCACCTCTCTTACAGGGGATGCGCCTTTCCTAGTATTCTCCTCCATAGTTAGTGATAGGCCTCCATAGCCTACCTTCCTTATGAACAAATAGAAAGAGCCAATATTTCAATAGAAAAACTTAAGTCTACAGGAATGTTAATGTACGTTCCGATAGTAATGTATGGATATTTTTAATAGAGACTTTTTGAAAATCAGCAGGTGTACTGCCAGTATTCAGTTATTACTCAAAATTTGAATATTTTTAGACATTTTCTGACCAATAATTGCAGAGTATATGGAAACTCTCTTGTTTTCATTGCAACAATATTTCATTTTATTGGGTTTTTTAAAGAATTGTTTCTTGCTTATCTATCAGGAAAATATTTGCTGTAATTCATGTTTGAAATGCTGCTCAAAATATATGCAATGTAAATTTTCATCTGGATGGATTTGAATGGGGACCTGGCACAATTTAAATCACTCCTATTGTACTCTATTTAAAAGCCAACACTTATACAACTTGCCTAGATTCATTATTATATTGCATATTAAGCTTAGAATGACCTAGTTATTAAGTATTATAATGTAATATTCGTGACTTTTAAATATCTATTATAATTATGTTATGCCTTTATTATTTTTCATTTTATTTCAAAAGGTGCTTTGAGCTTTTGAGAATCTTTTATTTGTAGTCATGTGTAACTGATGATAACTAAAAGGAGCCCTTGAATGATGGTTTCAAGTATATTGATAATTGAGTGCTGCCAATGTCTATTTATATTCTAGAAGAGGGTGTATTGATTCAATTTTAATCGCTCCCATCCTTAAGTTTCATTTCCGTCCAATGGTGCCTGAACATTTGGCTTTCTGTCACCATTGAAATGGTGAACGGGGACCAGACCACAGGACCAAAGCGGCAGGAGGGGGAGGAGGCAGCGGTGGCGGCTGCAAGGTAGATGATCTGCGGGGCAGGGTTGCTAGGGATCAAAGAAAGTCCTTCCAGTGGTGGACGGAGCTGATGTGCAGTGGCGGAGGCCTTTTGCTGTCACTGCCCGCTGGCTCCGAAACAGCAGAGGGGGACCAGGTAAGGGAACCAAGCCATCCTCCATAGCATGGCAGTCCTGCTCAGGAGGGGAGTGAAAGAGGCGGGCCGGCAACTGGGTTATTGAATGGGCAGGGGGAGGTTGCTGGGGGGCTGAGATGCACAGGTGCGAGGTGTGAGGGACAGGTCCAACCTCCCCTCTACCCTAGCTTGATTTTTACACATGTGGCTTGCCTCACCTCGTGCAACCAGATGGTTAGATGGAGTCTTAACTAGGGCTTATTTTGGGAATAGGGCTTATATTAGGTGCACACATAAAAATCAAGCTAGGGCTTATTTTTGGGACAGGTTTTATTTTTGGGGAAACACGGTATCTTCATTTTTGTTATAAGCAACTAATAATATATCACAACACAATTTTTATTTTAATAAAAATAATAAAACCTTATACAGGTAGTCTTCAACTTACAACATAGTGGAGCCCAAAACTTCTGTTGCTAAGTATGTAGAAATGTGTATTAGATAATTGTATGCCTGTGATGTCTTTTAAGAGAAAATACTTTTAAAAATTCATCATTGATGAATGTATATATCGGTTAACATGTGCCCATGTAGTGACTTGGCATCAATATAGTCCCGACCTATTTCTGAAAGCGAGGAAAAATGTGTTCAGATTTCAAATGTAGGTGTTCTTTGTATTCCCCACAGATAGGCCCAGATACAGTGTTGGAACATCTAAAGGAAATGGAAGGTCAGAGACTTCCTTGTCCACCTGCTTCCTTAGAAGACCCACCAGTTCAACTCTCCTGCCTTCAGGCTATTCCAGCAGCATCAGATCTCTTACTGAGTCCCATGATTCTCCAGCCAGAACAAGCAATTGCTCAAACTGTATATTTGAAAGCACTTACTATTCCTTTTTACCAGCCTGTTCAATCAAACCATAAACTTTCCAGAGTCCAGACAAATATCAACCTAGACAATAGTAATTTACCTTTAATCTTCAATCCACTTTTGCATTCAGAAGGGACAGATCAACTTCAGGCAATCATTCAGAAGCAACCCAGTACAATAAACATAGTTAGTCATTTTTCACTTTTGCCACAAAGTTCTTCTCCATGTGCACCAGCTGGAAGCCCAGGGAAGACCAAAAGTTCTGGGAGGTACCTCTGTAAACATTGTGGGCGTGACTGTCTGAAGCCAAGTGTCCTTGAGAAACATATGCGATCACATACAGGTGAGAGGCCTTTTCCATGTACAACATGTGGCATTGCATTTAAAACTCAAAGCAATCTGTATAAACACAGGAGAACTCAGACACATGTCAATAATGCCAGGGTGCCTTCAGAATCTGATAGCAGTAGTCTATTAGAAGGGAATGAGAAGCTGACTGAGATAGTTGCATCCACCCAGACTACAGAATCTCATGATAAAAGTGATGTCCAGCCAAGTGCAAGGATTAGATCTGCTGCTTCAGAGCTCAGTGACAAACATAATCTTGCTACTTCGTTATCAGAAACACTCCTTGTTTCGGAAAGTCAGAGGATGAAAACGGGTAACGCTTGTCATGGAGAAATAAATCAGAATGTCTTTGAAAAAGAGACCACCAGAGATGATGCCACAGATCTACCTCAGAGAAAGAAGACCCAGGATCAAAGGTCTCCAACAGGAAGCAAGCATAGTCAACTACAGAGACAGCAGGCTCTGTATTCAGAGAAGCTGTGGAACAGCAGATCTGTGGACACCAAGCTAAAAAAGTGTGAGAGCAGTGACTCGGGTTATCTGTCACGCTCTGATAGTGTGGAACATCAAACACCCTCGCCTGGCTTTCTGCACAGTCTTTGTGAACATAGCACAGAGACAGAAGATGATGTAGCTGTCATCAATAAATGCATGACCTACACTTTCTCAAAAGTAGGTTCAACTGAGAAAGCAACAGGAACCGTAACCCTGGAGAAAAAAAGGTTGGAAGAGCATATCTCAAGGCTAATATCTCATAATAAAGCAGTTGTGGATGACACCCAGTTGGACAGTGTTAGGCCCAGGAAAACAGTTCTATCCAAACAAGGAAGCATTGACTTGCCAATGCCTTACATGTATAAAGACTCCTTCCATTTTGATATACGGCCTCTGGACACCAGCAAGAAAAAGAATATTTCTCTGCGCTCAGCCAAGTCTATCTTCACTCCTGCGGAAAAAACTAAGCCATTGTTTTTTCACTCAGTTCCCACTCAATTCTCAACAACAATTGACTGTGTGCCTGTTACAAGAAGTAACTCTCTGCCTTTTATTGAGAGTACAAGGAAGACACAGGACCAGGCAGATAGTTCAAAATTATCTTCTTTCACTAGAGTGTCCCCAGATGTGGGTTTATCTGGCTTGTTGCATAGCAGCAATTTAGACACAAATATGATAAATGTTCTTAACAGCCACCCCCGGGCACTTGTTAGACAGGTGGCAGTGGATGATGTGCCATTAAATTATATGAATGAATCTTCATCCTCTTTAGAGGAGAAAAAAGGTAAACAAAAATCTGAGGCTGGGGTGGAAGGAGTGAACAGCAAGAATAAGAAACCAAGTCAAAGAAAATTAAAAATGTTTTCTCAGGAAAAATGGCAAGTTTATGGGGATGAGTCATTTAAGAAAATTTATCAGAAAAAGAAAAGCAGTCAATCAGCCAAAAAACAAAAAGGTAATTTAACAAATGTTTCAAACATTTATTCAGATACCAAGGAAACTGCCTGTGGGGAGGAAATTATATTGTCGAGAGAAGGCAGAAGCTCTGTAACTGAAAATGTAATTTCATCACTAGCAGATGTTACTGCAAAGGTAAATCCTGATGCATTGGAAAACCATTCCAAAGCTAGCCCTGTTTGTCACCCTACTTTTTCTCAGGAGAATTCAAGAAGATTGGCAGAATTAAGAGAAACATTGTGTTCAGTTGGTGATTGTGAACATTACAGCATGGCAAGTGAGACATCATTTGCTGGACATCAATGCAGAAACTTGCATGTTTCCAAACACAACCAGAGTGACAATAGTAAAGCTTTGCCTTTAAGTAAAGGCTGTAAATTGAAAGTCCAACTTAAGCAAACTCAGCTGAACCTTGCTACTCGGCACGATCATGACTTAGAAGATGGACACATTACTGAATGTGTACAAAAATATGAGGATACGGAAGCTAATAGAAAAGGATGCAGGAGGAAAGAAATTGCCCACCTTGGACACACAGATTTATCAGCACCACAATGCAACGCCAGTGAGCTAGTGTATGAATCTCAGAAGTTACCTTCAGAAAGAAAAAAGCCTAAGGTGGATACACTGAAAAACATAGAAAACATAACATTTAAAAATAATTGTTCAGCCGAGTTGGTTGTGAAACTGATAGACTGTTACAATCTTAATTTAGTTGCTGCAGAATCAGCAGAGCACTCAGGTAAGGGAGAAAAATGGACAGTAATGGTAGGAACACCTGCTTCAGGAAGCAGTATGGAATGTGAGGAAGGAATCCAACACTCTATAACAGTATCTAATAATAGGGATTGTATTGTAAGTCAAACAGATACAGCAAGTGTATCTGCGACGTCGCTTCCTGAACAATTCGAGACCAATGTAACAGAGGAACACACCAGTGATTTGTTTGCAATAAAAAAGCTGACATCTCCCATAACAACAGCAACAGAAGAACTATCAAACTGTAGAGACTCAGCACCAGCCCACTCTCAGCATGTGGTAAGGAATCAAGTGATTTCTCATCTAAAGAAAAACAATTTTCTTCCAAAGTACATCTTAAAATATTCACAAGAAGGAAACAATATAGGTGTGCCTTTGTTTCTTACAAGAGAGCCAGAAAATATACCATATGTTACATTGCCAAGCAGCTCAACCATTTCCCCATATCCTGCCTGTAACAATAAACTGCTTGATAGTAGCTCCATTGATATATCTTTGTGCCCTTTGCAATTGGATCTGAGTCATTCAGCTAGAAGAAAAGAGCTCAAATGGGACGTGGACACAACGTGGACACCTTTGGTAGCTTCTGCACCAGCTCTCCTTGAAGCAACAATTACAACCATGGGAGATCAAGAATGTCATCTTCAAAGTGCAAGCAGGAAAGTTAAAGAAACATGTAAAGGAGACAACTTAGGTGATCAAAGATTGGTAACAAAAGAGGATGAATGTATAGTTGCTTGCACATCACACATTCCTGGGAGGAAAGTATGCTTTACCACTATTTATACAGGAGGGCTTTTCATATCATCAGATATGACTGGACAAAATTCAGCCTTAAAGTTAATACAATCAGCGAAGAGTTCAGTAATTTCACTCTCTTCATTAGTGGAAAGGGCAGTTTTGTGTGAAAGTAGTGGGAAGGAAGCCAAGGAATGGCAATTGGAGACTAACCGTTCGCCAGGATTTGAAGAATTGCCCTCCTGTTCAGTTAATAGTCCGAATTGTCTTTGCCATTCTTCAAGTATGCTTTATTGTCATGTGCTGTGTACTCAACCAAAGGAGACTTTCTCTCAGCCCCAGTTAAGCAGAGAATCTCATGCAGGAAACTTACAAATCCCAAGTCTGAATCTGTCCTTCCCAACTCTAAATGCGGAGCCTCAGCTGACTTGGTGTTGCCTATCAAGAAGCCTCCCTCTTCCTATTGAGCAAAAGGAAATTAAAGATTCTGCATATTCTTCTTTGTATATGAATGAAAGCTTCATTTCAAAACATGGACGGTCAATCTGCAAAATGAAAAGCCATGGGAAGGCTGGTAGGGAAGGCTGGGGAATTGAAAACCCCCAAGCTCTGGTCTCTTCTCCACAAAGGCAGGAAACAGAGAAGGTAATGGCTTTATGCTTTTCCTATTCCTAGATAGAGAGATGCTGTTGATGATTATGGTTTAGCTTTAGAATAAAATGGGAGTGCTGGTTAAGAGGAAGCTGCTGTACCACCTTATTAGTAATAGATTTGAAGATTGTGGATTCAGTGTAATAAGATGATTATAGGTTGAACTCTTAGGTTAGAACACGTTGACACAATGTAGGTAATCTGTCTTGGAGTTTTGAGAATATGTTGCCACAAAGGTTATGTATTTATCATGACCCTGATCATCTTAAATTCATTAGCCATTCAACTCACCCAATTTGCCAGAAGGGAGGTTCTCTCTGACATTTATCTAACTCAGAAACAATCTGTGAGCTGTCCGTTATAGAAATTAGCCTCCTGCCACATTAGAGATGCCTTTGAATACCCCATTTCTTCCACAATCAGTTTGCAGCCACCTCAGAAGGAGGTATGTGGCAGTGGGAAGACGGAGTCCCATCGTTCTGATCCCCCTGAGTGCTCTTCTGGAAAGCAGAGAACCATTCTCATTCCTTTGCAGAAATGAGATATTTATGAATAATGTGTGCTGTAATTAGAATAAAAGAAAACACATTTAAAATTGGAAGAATAAACGTGTCTTTTTCTAGGATTATAAGGACAGCATTGCCGTGCCACGGTAGCTCTCACAAGATGGAGATGTTTTCTTTGTAAGATTTAATAGGCTGCCCAACCCAACCACTGTGACTGAGTGGTATGCAGCATAAGAACAAAGAAGACACCAGAGAAGAGGAAAAAGTCTTTACAATAAACAGTACAATATATAAATACAAAATAGTAACATAACAAAACAATCACAACTCTATCCAACATTCTTTTGAGAGGAGACACACTGTTCCACTGTTTTCATGTTTTGTGCTATTGTTTACACTTGATACTTGTCATGCAATTTTACTCATTTCTTTCATTTACAGAAGTACATTTTAAGTACTGGTGCTCAGGAAGCCTCCAAAAACATCCCAGAACTAGAAAAGAAAAAAGAAAAGCTTTACAAAAGGCGAGAAAAGAGAAACTTAAAAAGGATAAAGGTGAAGGTCAGCCCCAAGCGGTAAGAAATGCAGAATCTAGCCTTAGTCTTAGAAAAACAACTTTTCTTTGAGTATCAGTAACATTTATAGCTGAACAATATGATAGAAAAACTTTGTGTGGAGAACTTCTCAAAATTTTATTTTAGAAAATGGGACACTTACATGGATTGTGTTATAGAAGTACTAACACTATATTATGTTGTGACTTCAGATGTCACATGTCTCAGTATTCATAACCTATTGATGTCAAGGGGCAATGGGACAAATATCTTTAATACAGTAACCTGCACACAGTAACATCATGACAGAAATCCTATCCTACTGGTGCTAGAAGTAATTAAGTTTTAGCCTTTGCATCATGGCATACATTTTATCTCTCTGCCACGGTTTCTTTCCCCTTGAGGGAGAGGAGAGTCGGCTTGGAAATCTTTTTCACTCCGAGAATGAAAGTTTCTGGAGTCCGTGATCTCGCACGAATGTTTGAAGTTGCACCAAATCACGGACCTCAGAAACATTCATTCTCTATGCGAAAGGTGCCTCTCTCCTACTCCTGCCCCTAACTGCTTTCTGCCTGACGGCAGGCCTCCTTCAACTGGGGGAGAAAGCCAGGCCCCTCGCACCCACGTCCAGCCCGTTTCCTGGTGCAGATGGCTAGGAAAACCCCTTCAAGGCTTGGATCAGGCTTTTGGAAGCTCTGTTCTGGGCGGCAACAGCTTGGTGCAGTCCTCCGAGGGCTAGATACAACCTCCAGAGGCATGCAGAACCCCCCCCCCCCGATCTCTGTTTTGGGGGCAGCGGCAGAATGGCTCTGGAGTTGGGGGGAAGCAGGAGGCAGCACCACAAACAGTGCGAGAATTCAGGCACCCGTTCTTGCAAAAAAGGATCGGTGCCTGAACTCGCGTGATATTACAGCACCCAGGGGCTTCCATTGACTCTCCTGTCCATCGAAAGCAGGAACCGCGGCAGAGAGGAGATGGATCTTTTCAAGGTAAGTGAATCCGGGGCGGCAAGAATGGAGGGGGAAGCATGAGGTTTCCTAGTGGGTTGGGGAAGCCTTGGGTGGCCTTCCCCACCCTCAGATACCTCATGTGCACTTAACGAGCCATGTACGTTTTAACGAGCAAGGGAATGATCTTGTTCGAGGTACGAGATTTACTCTACGAGTTTTTGAGTTACGAGTGGAATGTGCAGGCTCCATTACACTGGTAACTCGAGGACTACCTGTATTATTATTTGGTTTCTCTACATTTTTTTTTGTTTCTTTCTTTGCAAAAAAGCAGAATGGAAATATTAATAGGAAAAAGAGAACACAGACAGGGAAGAAAGAGCAGATACTTTAATGCTGAAAGCATCAAATAGGACATCTTCTGTTTTTACATTTCATCTGTGTGGGTTATAATGCTAGTATTTGAAAAAAATGATTTTATTTCTGCTGAAGTTTAAAGTTGATGCAAAAACCGTTCCAAAAAAGCCTTGCTCAGGTTGGATAAAATCATTAGGCTTGTGTACTGGTAGCTGAATTTTTTTGTAGCAGGAAAAAAATGTCATATTAGACATGATTAAAATTATATAGAAATCTCCAAAGACAGAATGGCTATTTAGTTTTGGATGAGAACTTGCTTTTCAGCACAACCAATTTAAACCAGCCAAAACAGATTATATCATCAAGGAGATTTGAATGTAGGAATAAAAATGGAACCACATTTTAATGAGATATAATTTCATTTGTTTCAAGTAAGTATTTTTAAAATTCACAACAGTCAAATTTAATAAGATGATTGTTGAACATTATGGTTGGTTACACTGAACATATTTTTTTCCCCCTTGAGACAAACTGTGCAGGAAGGAATATTCTTTCTGGATTACTGAAGTTTGGCAAGCTAAACAGTACTAAATATTTGTTATGAAATGTGAGCTTGAAGGATGTTCTAAAGACATAACATTAATTTGTAGATTTCATTATATAGACATGAAGATCATCACGCACAAAGACACTGTCTTCTCAAAAGCCATAAGTCAAGCAAGCAATGCTGGGCCTTGAGAACTTCCAGAAAGCATTCCCACATCAACACTTCTGACATTTGGGAGCATTGTGGAAAATGCCATTGTTTTCCAACAACTTCACTAGGTAAGCCAGATAGGAAGGAAAATGGAAAATGACAAAAATTTCTGCAGCTGCCCCTTAATATTTGTGGGGTCTTTTTATTTACAAATTACTGCTTCTTGCACTTATTTCTGGTATTCATATTTCAGTTTGCTGTGACAGAGTAACATAGAAAATAAAAACTATATGATGTTGGCCATCTTCACATTTTTTTCCTTCAATTTAATGGTTTCTTTTTGATAGACTTTTAACCTGTGAACAAAGCTTATCAATATGCCCGTGAGAGATAATTGCAGGCATACGAGGCTCAATAGCTGCCTTTCAGCAGTCATTCTCCATCGATCCAGCATACCACACAGGCAGAATTGAATGGTTGCAAGTAAGGTTGATTGGCATAATGTGATCAAAGTTCTGTCTGTTTTTAATGCAGCACAGATAAAAAAAACCCAAGCAGCTTAAATTGTATCCTTGTGGCCTCTTCACTTTTTTAAGCATGTCTTGCAGACATCCTTGCTCACAATGTTATTGTTGATGGGAAAAATATGGGAGAGTCCTCCGTATGTTGCCATGATTGTCATGGTTTCAATAAATGAAAGCCATTAAAGAACTTCAAGGCAAGAATTCTTCCTTAAAGAACTTTTTATTTAGGAAACAAAGTATCAGCACTACATAGCTGAACCCAAAACTAAATTCCCTCCCCCGATACAAAGTAACAAGTTGCAATTCCCACCCCCATGAAGCAGTCATAAATCACATTCTCCAACTAGCCTGAAGTGCAGGCTCCCTCTCCAGCTCCTCAGCCCGCCAAAACGTTATCGGTTTGTGTCCTTGGGTTCCCACGAAGCTGCATTATTATTATGGCTAGCTGAGCTCAAGTATTCACCCCATTCCCCTCTTCTACATCTGATTTGTAAACAGCAGAAAAAGCAAGCTGTAAGCAGAGTAAAAATGGCTGCAATTTCCTTCAGTTGTCAGAGCAGGAACATCCATTGTCACAGCGTTGACAATGATCTATTAAATGAAAGGCAGGCTATAAATGAAGAATAAGGAAAGCTATTCAGAGTTGAAGAATTTTCTCCAACATCTATCCTGAAAATCTGTTGTTTGAAGACCTCAACAGATTGTAGGATAACCTTTTGAGCACCAGGGACCGGTTATGTGGAGAGAGGTTTTTCCGCGGACCAGAGGGGGCGTGGTTTTGTGTGCTGGCTGCATCCCGCGGACAGGCTTTGTTTGTATGGCCTGGTTGCTGGCATGCCACGGACCGGGACCAGTCGACGGACCAGGGGTTGGGGACCCCTGCCTTAGGGCATTGCCCAGACTTCTTGGGTTTAACAGTCATCCTACAGAACTTGATAGTTCATCCTAAACAACAAATTTTACTATGTTCTTTATTGTTAAGATATTTGTAACTATAGAATTTGGTATAGTAATTAAAGCAACAAACTAGAAAGCTGAAGACCCTGAGTTCTAGTTTTACTTTAGGTATAAAATCAGCAGGTTGACTTTGGGCCGGTTATTCTCTCTCAACTCTAAGGAGGAGGTAATGGCAAACCACTTCTAAAATCTTGGCCACAAGACTGCAGGGATTAGCCCAGCCAGTTGCCAGGAGTAAAAACTGACTTGAAGATAGATTAAAGCAAATTGAAATGTTGAACTGTATACTGCCTACTAGTAGATAATCAAGATAATGATATGACTGCTATTATAAGAAGATATTAATTTTGAATTTCTATGTTTGCATGTGCACCAGGATTCCTGTGCAGTTTTTCTTTGAATTATACCTGGGGCTTGATTTTAGACTTTGAAGTTTCTTGCGTGGCTCACTTTCAGGTTACATCATAATTTCCTTCTTTCAATAAGTTACAGTTTCTAATAATCACCCCATAAAACACACTTCTTTTTTTCCAACAAAAAATCCATAAGTGGTTTCTAGTCACTGATAAATGAAGATATATATTATCAAACAAATAAGTTTTGTCATCTCTACTAGTTCTGTCATCTTCATCAGCCATTCCTCTGTTGTGGGTTATTTCAGAATCTTCTAATTTTTGTACATATAATAGTCTTGCAGCAATAATCATTTAAAAATTATTTCCCATGTTTTTTTCCCTAATGATGGTCCATTCATTCCAGCAAAAAAAGTTCTGGTTTCAGTTAAATGTTGATCTTTAAAATTTTTGTTTAAGCTTATGACCATAACTGAGGTCATAATTAGAATTATATTTTAACCCATTTTGATCCCTTGGGGATAAATTGGTAAAGATATCTAACTAATTAAAATTAAAGAGATGCCTGTAAATTATTCAATTTCTCAAGTGTATTAATAATGAAATAAGATTTAAGCAAAATCCACATGTATTTACCCTTCTCTGAGAAACGGTTAAGTATATGAACATCAGTAATCTTGTTTATAAAAGCATTTTTTTTCCAAACAGGAAATGACAAAAATCTGCAACAGCCACATTACAGCACAACAGATAAAGCAGCTTTCCATTTGGAAGTGGATGAGATGAAACAAGTAAGGAGTAACTTATGTATGACACTTTTTTCTCATGCTAAATCAGGTAACTTCAGGTTAATCTGACAAATGGGTTATTGATTGTTCACCAACGGATAGTAATATCTGCTTAAAATCCATCAAACAAAATAAGATGTTTGCATTAATAGGCCATATTAAAAAAAATAAAAAAGTATCCTTAGAATGCAGAAGATTGTGTAGGAAGAACTTGGAAAGACAAGATTAAAGAGCCTATCAAAAATAACTTTAGAGAGTTGTAAACTATTGGATAATGAGTGGAATACATTTTGCTTGTTACCAATTATTTAGTACCAAGAAAGAATAGTATAATATTGTATTATTGTAGCATTTATGATGGGTCAGTGGCAAAATATATTCAGTTGATATTAAGTAAATTCATTCTTAATAAGATTTATTGTATTGTGATCATTCTTATGGAATCTAATTTTATGTGAAAATATAGATTTCACAATTATTTACAAGACAGGTTGCATGAGATACTTAACACAAAGCATGTCAGGGGAAGACATTCTTGCAGATGATGTTATTAGTATTCTAGAGGACAGTCCTGTCGGCTTAATCTTGTGCAACATTCTCTTCCCAAAATGGCCAATCAGCTGCTGAGAAGAAGTCCTCATGCAGATCAAGGATGTATTAATGCTTCTGATTTTTGTTCCCACAGAAAGAGGGTTCAGTGACATACATATTACTAGTAGTTTATAGCAACTGATGAATTAATAATTTCTTCTTTATGTTTGGTAGGGAACACCTGGACTGAACAAATGCTCAAGCGATAGCTTATTTCTTCAACAAATTTCTACAATTCGAGAAGTACCTACATACTCCTGTCCACTGTCTAATAACATATCAGCAGAAAAACCCAGCAGTCTAGATAGTTGCTCCTTGGGAGTCTTTCCAAAAGAACAATGTCCAGATGTGGATTCTGAGTCCAACGGATCTTCCACTGAATCTTATCATTTGGAATTCAAAGATACAAAGAGCCACTTATGTAACTTTGTTGCATCTCAGATTACTAGACCTATTTTTGTTCATTCAAAAAGAGGTTTTAATAACTTAGAATCAAAGGATAAAAATGTTATAATTCTAGAACCTCCCATTCCTATTGCAGAAAGAACAGAACAATTCATGGAGAGAGACTTGTATCCTTTTTTAAAAGAGCAACATGCTCCCACACGCCAAAGACTATATCCTGTTTCGCTCACATCAAGACTATGTACTGAGAGGTCAGTTTCAACTAAACCTTCGCCAGGAACTCTACCTAAACAAAAGCAAAGCTTGGAAGCAATGAATAAGCCAACTCATTTGGAATATGATGATGTAAGCAGCAGTGATGATGAAGAGAAGTTGGTTATAGAAATCTAAGGAATAAGTTACTTATTATTTAAACCAGAGCTCAGTTTGAAGAGGAAGCCATCAAACTTTCTCTTGTATCTTAAAAAGTAAAAAAAAAACCTATTCCCATGCATATATTTGCCAAGTATGGCTTCCTTACATGCGCTTTGCTTTACATGAGCAATTAGTTGCACATTTAAATGCCAACAATAAGCTCAGTACATCATCATTTCTCTCTTCATCGAATTCTCTATAAATTCAGACAGTAAATCAGACATGAATGCCTCCTTTGAGAAGTAGAAAGTTGGCCCTGAAGATAGGAAGGCAACTTCTTTTCTCAGCTGCTCTGTGTTGCTTATTTAATCTAACTTTTGCTTTCTACAATTTTGCATGAAATCAGTGTCCTTAAAGCACTTTACATCATTTTTTTCTCTTTGGCAAACAACGAAAGCATGCACTGATTTGTTTTGTGCCTTTTCAGTAGAGATCTGTACATACTTTCTTATCTCTTTGATTAATGTTACCTTTCCTATAATAGGAAGAAATTCTCTGATACTGTTACTCAGGTCAGTTGGGGAAAATATTTATTATGCCAAATGAAAATGTGTATGAGCTTTGTCACAAAGAACTGAAAGCATAAATAAGGCACACCTTTTCTTTCGTTCCTTTACACGTGTCAAATCTGTGCACTTAGAGTGGCAGTTCAAATATTTGTCCAACTGGTTATCAAGCACTTTCCTAAACACACTTCTATTGCATTAGAATACTGTTGTGAAGCAATGGTCATTTGGACCATTGAGTTTATATTTAATCTTTCATATATCTTAACAAATTGTCCTACAAGCTATTAAAACTTTCACGTAAAATTCATAGGTGCCTTTCTTTGAGCAGGAGATAGATTGAGCATGATAATTTGTAAGTTGTTTCTGATTATGCTGGCCAAGTAAGGCAATAGAGAGAAAAAATACATTTCTGCAAAATTAAAGGAGAAAAAGATGAGTAGTCTGCTAAATGTATTAATACTGAAAATGACAGGTTTAATCATTCAAATTACTAAATTGCCACTGTATTTTTTTCTTTAAATTGGAGATCATATGACCAATTATATAGAATAGAATAATCTGGAAGGGACCTTGGAGGTCTTCTAGTCCAGCCCTCCGCTCAAGCAGAACCTATACCATCTCAGACAAGTGACTGTCCAGTCTCTTCCAGTGATGGAGCACCCATAATTTCTGAAGGCAACTTGTTTCACTGGTTAATTGTCCTCACTGTTAGGAAGTTGCTTCTTAATTCCAGGTTGCTTCTCTCTTTGATCAGTTCACAACCACTGTTTCTTGTCTTGCCCTCTGGTGCTTTGGAGAATAATTTGAACCCCCTCTTCTTTGTGGCAGCCTCTCAAATACTGGAATACTGCTATCATGTCACCTCTATTTCTTCTTTTCTTTGGACTAGCCAAACCCAATCTATACAATATTTAACTTTCTAAAAGCCTTTCTACAATGTAAATATTTTTTAAAAATGCAACCTGAAGTCAAAATCTGTGGCACAGAACAGTCAAGACACTGCTATGAGCTTTGAAAAGCAGGTAGGCTTCTGAAAGCTTTCCAGTTAATATTTTGGCTGCTTTTACATAGCACGTGAAATCAGCTTTTATCTTCATGCATTCATAAAACTTTACAGTGTGCTATAGTAGCGGAACACAATAATGGCATAAAAGCTGTATACAATCTTGAAATACAGATGGAAAGGGATGAAATACATTATCCTTTACAGTATCTTTTTCTTTAACCTTCAATCACTAGTCTTTATGACTCAGTGTGAAATTCACTCCTTTTGCAATATTTATTTCACATCTATAGAGAAACTGGCTGAATAGAAACTATTGTCTAATAGCCTTAGGCCCATGTGAAAGTCTGTCAAAATAAAAAGTAGACAATATCTTGTTTCTAAAATTTCACAGGCCCAGCTGTTTTCTAATGGACTCAAATTTTAATCTGAACCTGCATTGTTAGCCTCAAACCCAGCCCTTGATTGCCCAAATGGGCTGTTGATTCATTCTTGTTGCATAGCAATGGGAAGGCTGGCAGAGTTGTGTACAGAAGAAGGAACTGTGAGTTCAGTTGCCATGGCAATAGGGATGAGCAGATCCTGGTTGTTTCCCTGGAGATGGCATACAGATGGGTAGCCCACAGAGCCTCCGTGTGGCTATTTGAAGCCAAAAATAATTGTTGATAGAGGAATCTAGAAAACGTAAGAACACACATTTTGTGTGGCGTCAGCTTTGTGCTTTTTGCTGTGTAAAGCCCCTTGGGATATGTTTTAGGCAGAATGTACAACAATCCAAAATGTTTCAGGTTTTGTTGCTGCTGAATCATTGCCAAATTGAAATTATTCATCAGAATAACCAGAGCACAATGGTTCTGAGTTTAAAAGAATTATTTTGTGGTTCATGCACATTCTTGCAGGCAAATATCTTTAGTCTTTACTTCCCACTGAATATTTTCTCAGTTAAGATACCAAATCGTAAGGTAAGTTTTTTGCTAGAGGTAAATGAGATTCTCAAGTGCTCTGAATATATTAATATACTACACTGGCAAATGCTTTGTCTGACTAAAATGCTTCTTGTGAATTTCTACATCCTTACAGATGTAATTAATTATTAACATTAATTAAAATGGTTTCGAAAATTAAAAATGTTCCAGAATGAGAAGTAGCTTGTTTTAGAAAAAGAATCATTTATACAATATTCAAGATTATAATGTGAATTGATGTGATCCACCCATACTTTGTTCCAGAAAACAGCCTTATTAGCTATTAATATAATCAGTACTATTTGACTGTGGTACAAGACTTGCAATCACAATCAACTGTATCTGAACTTCCTTTTCGAGAAACAAAGCATATCAAAACAACAAAATGTGTTAGGATACTGCGCTATTCTCGTTCAACACAATTTTTACATCACCCCTCCCTTAAGGTAACAGCACAAGCATAAAAACACAAAAACATCACATATTCAAAAAGAATGGGGTGGGGAGGAGAGAAGCAAATGACACTTAACAGGTGAGACACTTGCTTTCTAGCATATTTCAGTTTTGCCTGCTCACTAACAAACATTTGGAGCTTATCTAGGTGGTCTGTGGAACACAAATATAGTTACTCTTCAAATGGTAAAGCAACCTGTCCAAAATAACCAGGATGGTTAGAAAAGCAGCAAATATTTCCTGCATTTGTATTAACCACTTCCAGAATAATTAGAAAGCTCTAACATACAAGAATAAAAAACACAGACTTTAAAAGAAGTAGACTGTATAAAAACACATTGAAAATATATTCCTTTTTTAAAATTAAAAAATGCCATCTTGGTATGCATGACCGCAAGTTAAATTTCATTTCCAACTTGAAACTGATTATTTGGATGTGCTGTAATTTGATTTATAGACAAGTTTCAAAACTGTCCTATTCACCCTATTGCAGTGATGGCGAACCTTTTAGAGACTGAGTGCCAAAACTGCAACCCAAACCCCACGTATGCATTGTTGAGTGCCGGGTGGTGTGGCCCATTGGGTGGGTGTGGCCCATTGGGTGGGCGTGGCTGTGGTGGTAACGGCAGACTGGGTGGGACTAAAAAATTCAATCAATTCCAACTTTACAAGATCTTTTTTTTTTCCTGCAAGAAGTTGAAATTGACTGATTGATTGAACCTAAAGGCCTAAAGCGAAAAGGTTTTATAAAACCCAGCTGAAGGCCTAGGGCTCTGAGTGCCACCTCTGGCACCTGTGCCATAGGTTCGCCACCACTGCCCTAGTGGATGATCTGAGCCAGGAAGATAGGAGAACAGTACTATTTTGAAATTCCTGATGACTTTCAGCACTATGAACCATTGGTATTGCAGTAGTATTAGTGGTAAGGGTGAGTATGCACCATAACATTAATACATCATCTTGTAAGGCTACTAAATGAAGCACCATACTTTGCACATGCAGCTGTTACATCTTATTTCTGTTTATTAATTTTAAAGAAACAGTGAAAATAATACATCAATATTAGAAGTAAATAGAAAAATGGATATGGCCAGGAAGTTCAACTGTAAATCAAATAATATAAATGTACTACTGGTCTAGATAATAGGTTATGTTCCCTGAGGGAAAAAAGATTAGTATGTTTTCAACAAGGTTGTAGAAGCACCTTTGCTCTGGAGGAAAGATGACAAGACAACCTTATCACTGTGTGCGACTCACATGCCCCATTCTCCTGGAATTAGATTTTGATTCAGGTATCCATGTTTTCAATTATCTAGCTTCACTTGATCCAAATGGCATCACACACATTTTTGCCAAACTTCTGTAGTCCAAAATAAAATTCTTGGTTCTTTTAGTTTCATTGTTTACAAATTCTGAAATATTGGGCCTAGTGCCTGAGTCTTAGAAAAGCAATGAGTGAAGCAAAATCAATTATGGTACTATTCTCCAAGCATGACAGTACAACATGGCAATTTCTACTTGTGAGTCTAGTCTCATTTTAATTAAAACTGAGAATAACTGGATCATATACAGTACTATGGAAAATATAGCAGACTGAATTATCTGCAGTGTTACAAGAGAATTGTTTTAATAACACACAGCCTAACCATGCTTTACAATGCTGTATAATGCACCCAAACCCAACCTGTGGAATCTATGGTCTTTTTTCATACAGTGATAGAATGGACTGACTTAAATGTTTCAAAATCTCCAAAATAAATAATTGAGCAAAGTGATTAGTCCCATTACTGGGTGTGTTTTATCCAGAGTCAAACTATTGACTGTTACTTTGAAAAGCTTATTTCCGGTTAGAGCTACATACTACATACTAATTCAGAGCCAAAAACAACCCAACTGAAGCATATATAGATCAGAGTGGTAAATTTTTATCACCTTATTTCATTGGGTATAAAGGATAGGTGAAGCTATTTCAGAGACCATACACTGGATGCAGTTTTCAATTCTATGAATGTTGTCTGCTTATAGCCCACTTTATACTTGCTTTCTCTGCATAATAATGACTTTGAATATCAATGATGTTACAAGCTCTAAAATGGTGTTTATACAAGCAACAATAATAATTCCTTGGCTAAGGAAAATAGCAGATCTTACACAAGATTTGAAGCTGAACCGTCAAAGCTTGCCTTCACATGCTTAATAATTTCAGTAATGGAAAAATAACGTGCTAGCAGATGGAAGAGCAATACAGGTGTGTACTCTGAATGCTTTAGACCAGGGGTCTCTAACCCTTGCTTCATGGACTGGCACCAGTCCACAGCATGCCAGAAACTGGGCTGTGCAAATAACCCCATCCATGGGATGCAGGCAGCCCCCTCTGGTCTGTGGAAAAACCTCCACAGAACTGGTCCCTGATGCCCAAAAGGTTGGGGACTGCTGCTTTAGACCTATGAAATATTCTCAGCAATAATATATAAAACATTACTACACAACTCATTCCGAGAATTGCATCTACTTACTGCCACCAGTTCTCAACTAAAAGAAAAACAACTTTCCCCTGGTATTTCACTTTCCAATGATCAAAAAAGGCATATCTGCTCATCCCACCTGGCCCTCGCTATAAGGCTACTTACAAATATATTTGGACAATGCTGTTTAATTCAACCTTTTACTTTGAAGAAAAGAGGGGACTGAATTTGGAGACAAATACTGTAAACAGCAGTCTTCCTTCTTTGAATGAAGAAGGAAGACTTCAGTTGGTTCACCAGATTATTACTGTAAACTGCCTTGCATGTTTGTATAACAAAGGTGCAGAGATAGTTAATAAGTAATACAAATCACATCCAAATATGCACTGTTTAGGAAACCCACAGAAGCATAGTGCGAGTTCAGTAAACCAGGAATCTTGAGCTGCTGCTCAGATCGGTGGATTGCAGGAGAACGTAAATGCAATTACTGTATCAGACAAGGCAGCCTACCAATTTTTCTATGGTGTTGGACTGACCCTGGAGACTTTCCAACGCCACTCTCTCTCACAACCCAGCTCACCACGAGGTTTGTCGAATTTTACAAAATAAAGGTGAGATAATAAAATGCAAAACAATAAACATATACACGGCCTTCAGCTCCCGAAGGAGAGGAGAGGTATCGAGGTACGAAATGAAGGAAATAAAAGAGAGCCAAATAATCCAAGAGTGGGTTCC